AGAGGAAGGAAAATATTCACTGTCTTTGAAGGAGAGTAGCTGGTGAAGTCTTCACAAAAGAGGACACACATGAGCTGGGTCTTGAGGAAAGTGGGAGTTGTGCATGGAGGGTAGATTCCAGGCACAGGGAACAGTACATGTGAGGACATGGAGTTCCCACCCAGCACACTCAGGGCACTGTGAGTGGTTCAGTATGGCTGGAACAGAGATGTTGGGATGGGGTGGGGAGTGCAGGGGAAGATGAAGGAATAGACAGGAAGTCAGTCTCAGAGGAGTTTTTGAGTCCTCTGAGGCCTCACTGCTCAAAGAGAGTGCATTACCTGTGTGCTTGTCAGAAGTGCAGACCCTCAGGCCCACCACAGGCCTTCTGAATCAGAATCTACACATATTTAGTTATTTAGAGACAGGGTCTCACTCTATTGCCCAGGCTGAAGTGCAGTGGTGTAATCATGGCCCAGGTGATCCTCCCACCTCAGCCTCCTGAGTAGCTAGGAATACAGGCATGCACCTCCATGCTTGGCTAATTTTTAAAATTTTTTGTGGAGACAGGGTCTCACTATGTTGCCCAGGCTGGTCTTGAATTCTTGGATTCAAGGGGTCCTCCTGCCTCAGCTTCCTAAAGTGCTGGGATTACAGGCATGAGCCTCCATGCCCAGCCAGAATCTACATTTTAGGCCGGGTGCAGTGGCTCATGCCTGTAATCCCAGCACTTTGGAATGCCAAGGCAAGTGAATCACCTGCGGCCAGGAGTTTGAGATCAGCCTGACCAACAAGGAGAAACCCTGTCTCTACTAAAATTAGTCGGGTGTGGTGGTGCATGCCTGTAATCCCAGCTACTCGGGAGGCTGAGGCAGGAGAATTGCTTGAACTCGGGAGGCAGAGGTTGTGGTGAGCCAAGATCATGCCATTGCACTCCAGCCTAGGCAACAAGAGCGAAACTCTGTCTCAAACAACAAAAACAACAAACCAGAATCTACATTTTAATAAGAGGTTCAGGTGATTCCTTTGTGCATTCAAATTCAAGAAGCTCTGCTCTGATTTAACACCTTCAAACTTTATTGTGTGGGCACTGGGGAGCCTTTGAGGGCTTTCAGCAGGGGCAGGACACAGTTGTTCGGTCCACCATCCTTGGTGTCTGCAGCAGGGTTTGGTTCTTCATATCCTCTTCCCAGTCCTCTCCTTCCCTGTTTCTTCATCAGCCCCTCTGCCACCACTAACCCCAAACACTCCAGTCCTCCATCCACTACCTGTCTTCACAGACTTTTACTCAGCCTCACTGCCCTGAACACACCTGGTGTAATTCTTGAGTGCAAGGAATCCCTTGGGTTTGAACAATGATAAATGAAAATGTAAGATTCCATGATTCTATGAAATACTTTGCACAGCAGGGTGACCTTGTGGAATTCATTATGCCCAAGCAGTGGCACATGCTGAAAACATAAGTAGGCTCAAAAAACATAGAGAAAGATTCACAGATGTAAGTCCATGGTGAGTTAAGAAGGGAAACAGGATGCAGAGATGTGGTCCCTAACCTTTTCTTGGTAATAACCTGTATTGGTTTCTGACTATAAAACTAATATATGTGCATTAGAAAGCTGAAAATACATTAGTTTGAACAAGAAAACAAAAGGTCAGTCAGAGAAAAAATCAGAAGGGATTAAAAACAAAGAGAAGGAAATCAAGGGCATGCACGCACACACACACATACACACACACACACACACACACACATTCTTCCCACCTCCTGCCACTCCTACCCTGTCCTTCTGATTTGGTTATAACTAAGATTGCAGATTGATCAATATTCAATGTTTACATTATCAAGACTGTAAACCTGTTGACCACTGAACTATGTAGTATACAATGATTACTTCTCCTTCCTTGCACAACATTTTGCTTTTCTGGGAGCTGATCATTGTTGTTAGTTATATGTTCAGTTGATTAGTTTTTTCATGTCCTTATTAGTAATTTCTTTCTTTCTTTCTTTTTTTTTTTTTTTTTTTTTGAGATGAAGTTTCGCTCTTGTCGCCCAGGCTGGAGTGCAAATGGCACGATCTTGGCTTACCACAACCTCCGCCTCCCGGGTTCAAGCGATTCTCCTGCCTCAACCTCCCAAGTAGCTGGGATTACAGGCATGTGCCACCATGCCTGGCTGATTTTGTATTTTTAGTAGAGACAGAGTTTCTCCATGTTGGTCAGGCTGGTCCTGACCTCAGGTGATCCGCCCACCTCAGCCTCCCAAAGTGCTGGGATTACAGGCTTGAGCCACTGCCCCTGGCCTATTAGTAACTTCTTAACTCTTCCCTAAGTGGGTAAATATTCTCTGAATATATTCAGATACATTAAATGGTTTGTTGTTGTTGTTCGTTTTTTTCTTTGAGACAGGGTCTTACTCTGTCCCCCAGGCTGGAGTGCAGTGGCGCAATCCCAGCTCACTGCAACCTCTGTCTCCAAGGTTCAAGCAATTCTCGTGCCTCAACCTCCCGAGTAGCTGGGATTACAGGTGCGTGCCACGATGGCCCAGGTAATTTTTATGCTTTTAGTGGAGATGGGGTTTCGCCATGTTGACCAGGCTGGTCTCAAATTCCTGGCCTCAAGTGATCCTCCTGTCTCAGCCTACCAAAGTGCTAGGATTATAGGTGTGAGCCACTGCACCCAGCCCATTAAATGTTTTATCAATTTCATCTTGTTGATGCCATCTTCTCTCTTGGAATCTTCTGACTGCTGTAGCCTGCATTGGTCACTCTGAAGATCTGCTGCCCAGCTGCTGTTCAATAACCTTCCATCTCCATCCTGGGGATTTCCTTCAACTCTCCTCTGTTAAAAACCTGCTTTCTAGGTTCCATACACTCATACACTTTCACTTCTGGTTTTTCTACCTCATTTTGGTGGAAGATTTTCTCCAGTAGCTTCCTGAGAAAGAGCTCATAGAAGACAATGCGTTTGGTTTCTTGCATGTCTGGAAATGCCTTCATTCTGTCTTCATGCTAAATTAATCATTTGGCTGTGCATAGAAGGGAAAATTAGAAATCATTTTCCTTCAGAACATTCAAGGCATTGTTCCATTGCCTTCCAGCTGTCACTGTGACTGGTGAGAGAGCCACTGCTGTCGTGATTCCTGATCCTTTGTATGAAATCTGTCTTTTTGTTTGTTTTTCATCTTTCTGAAAACATGTAGGAGGATTTCCTCTCTGTCCTCAGTGTTGTGAAAACTCACCATGTTTTGTCATTTGTGAAACTATTTTCATCCATTATACTTGACACTTGATGGGCCCTTCAGTTCTAGGAAATTTTACTGAATTGCTTCCTTGATAGTAGTTCCTTGATGGATAATTAGATAGTTCTCTCTGCTTTCCCTTTCTGGAACTGCTATTATGTGAGACCTCCTAGGCTGGACCTTGTCTTTTGTCTACTATTTTCCATTTTCCATCTTTTTTTGCTCTACTTTGTGGAAGATTGCCTCTAGCTTATTTTCCAACTGTTCTATGGAGTGTTTCATTTCTGCTATTATATTGTTAATTTTCAAGAGGGTTTTTTGTGCATTACATGTTCCTTTTTTCCAATATTTTGTTATGAAAGTTTCCAAACACATAGACAAGTTGAAATAATTTTATGGCAAACACCCATATAACTATCACCTGACTTGAACCTGGGAGGCAAAGGTTGCAGTGAGCCGAGATGGTGCCATTGCACTCCAGCCCGGGCAACGGTGTGAGACTCTGTCTCAAAAAAAGGAAAAAAGAAAAAGAAAATAGAAAGTAAAAACTGAGAGGAAAACAGTGCTTATTTTAACTCCTGACGGCACTGTTTGCAGGGGTCATGCTTCAGTGCCTTGTAAGAAGTTTACCAAACTGCCAGCCTCATGGAGCAGGAGACCTCTTTAAGATGGGTGGGCCAGGTGCAGGGGTGGGGGTGGGAGTTCCTGCACAACTCTGTTGATGCTTGGTTGACCCTGACGGATATTCTGGGCCATGCTGGCTTTTGACTGGAACCTGCTACCTAGGTTGACCCTTCAGTTCCTCTCCTTATCAGCTCTGTTATTTCCAATCTCTAGCTCACATCTTGCCCAACTCCATTCCACTGTCTGTTTCAGTTTGCATCCTTTCTCCCTTCCATTTAAATTTTCCCCAAACAGATCTGGCCTTAGTCACCTACTTGTATCCTCTATTGAGTTTTCATTCAACAACATTTGTTGAGCATCTTTGTGCCAGGCCCATGGTAAGTACAGGAGACTCAAGGTTGAGAATAACACAGCATTGCAAGTACATCCTCTGGATCCAAACTACCTGGGTTCGAATCCTAGTACCATCATTTCTAACTGTAGGATCTTGGACAAGTTACTTTGTTGTACTCCAGTGTCCTCATCTATATAAAAAGAATAATAATACCGTCATTTAATCATGGGGTTAGTGAGAGGATTGACTAAGCTTAGAAGGGTGTCTGGTGCCCGGTAAGCACTCTTTAAGTGCTGGCTCTTAAGGCGCGGTCCTGTTCCCCCTGGGGGACAGGACTGAGTCGGCCGGCTTCGCAAGTGACCTGCAGCTCCTGGCTACCCTTTCCTGAACCGGGTGGAAGTTCTTTAGTCACAGATTCACTGTATGGCCCAGACAAGTAAGTTCTCTCCGGGTCTCACTTTTTGCATTTATAAAGAAAGGAAATCGGACTAAAATTGATTTCCAAGATCCCAACAAACTATTATCCTTGCTCTGGGTCAAGCAGCCCAAGTTTCAAACTATGTCAGTTTGGCCAAGACACTTAGCCCTCAGAGCTTGTTTCATCCCTGTAAAACGTGGATGATATTGCTAATCCCCTCCCAGTGTTGTGATGAGGGTTTAATAATACAAGGCAAGCCCCACGCGCTCGCCGGCTACAGGCACACAGCGCGAGGAAGTCGGGACAGCCTTTTTAATTCACCGCGGAATTCGATCCACCCGCCCTCGCCGTTCAGCGCACGCGCGCTGGCACCGCCCCGCCCCCGCCGACCGCAGGTTCCCGACTTCCGGTTCCGCCAGGGCCCAGAGGCGGTGATGAGGCTAATGGCGGTGCCCTCGGAACTGGATGGAGGGAGTCTTAAGGAGACCGCAGCGGAAGAGGAACCGCGAGTTCTGGAACCCGGCGCCGCCCCGTTCGGAAATTTTCCTCATTATTCTCGCTTCCACCCTCCGGAGCAACGGCTCCGCCTCCTGCCCCCGGAGCTGCTTCGACAGCTCTTTCCTCAGAGTCCCGAGAACGGGCCGATTCTGGGGCTCGACGTGGGGTGTAACTCCGGGGTGAGTGACAGGGGAGGGATTGGAGCATCCGGAACCAAGCGGTTGGTTGCCTACACATCCACGGTGGTTCTGGCCTGGCCTCACACCCATCAGAACTTTCCCAAATCGAGTATAAAGCGTGGCGTTGACCTTGCCAGTGCTGCTGATGCCTGCCCGCCAGGGTTCCACCATCTGTCTTAGGAATCTCTCTTGGAGAGGAGTCTTTGTGGACTACGTTCCCACTTCTATTTAAGGGCCAGACCCCAGGTGGGGACGGTCGCTGTATCTAGGGTGGCCTCTGTCCAGCGTGCCTGGCGCTTTGGCTGGGGAGAGGGGGCTTCCAGAGACACACGTTTGGGAACATGGGGTTAGGTTTGGTTTACTGGGAGAGAAAAGCCAAGGGTGACAGAATCATGCCTGATATTGAGACTCGTGTGCTATACAGTACAGGACAGACCCTAGGACCTGCATGTTTATTTCAAAAAAATGTGAGTAGGCCGGGGCGGTGGCTCACGTCTGTAATCCCAGCACTTTGGGAGGCCGAGGCGGGCGGATCACAAGGTCAGGAGATGGAGACCATCCTGGCTAACACAGTGAAACCCCGTCTCTACTAAAAATACAAAAAATTAGGTGGCGTGGTGGCGGGCGCCTGTAGTCCCAGCTACTCGGGAGGCTGAGGCAGGAGAATGGTGTGAACCCGGGAGGCGGAGCCTGGAGTGAGCCGAGATGGTCCCACTGCACTCCAGCCTGGGCGACAGAGCGACACTCCATCACAAAAACAAAGCAAAACAAAAACAGTGAGTTGACAAAGTACAGTGGAGAGGATCGAGAAGCAAATAGAGTATTTTGCCCGAGGGAATGGAGAAGGGTGGCACTGCCACTCTTCTTGCTGCAAACTATTCTTAGGCATATAATGATTATAATCAAACCACATGCAAAATAAGGAAATGTCTCTCCCACACCTGTTTGTAGCCACTGGGATATCCTACACTAGCAGGCAGTCTGAACTTACCATGGCAAATGCTTCAAAAGTTAGTACCCTCTCTCTGCTCCCTCCATCACTCCAGTCCAGCATCTGGAGTGCAGGGGACAGGTTTGTTGTGTTGCTGTCCTTTCACAGAAGAGACTTTGGGGGACGATTGCAGACCTTGTGGGACTCAGTTGATAAGTAGGAGGAGGACATTTGGATACAGTCTTAAAGACTGGAATGAGGAGATGGGTTGATGTCCGGTGTCCCTTGCAAAATTTCTTCTCTGTGATGATACAGGGAGTCAGAGGGTGAAAACGGTGGAAAAGAGAGACTGAGGTTAAGGCTTGGGATTTCACAAAAGGCATTAGGAAACCACCAGAGATTTTAAAGTTAAGAATAGTATACACATGAGAGGTAAAGACATAGTTGGCAGCTAACTAGGGTAGTGGTTCCCAAACCTGGCTGTACGTTTATGGAGCTTTCTGTTTTGCACTTTTTAAAAAATGCTTTCTCTTCTGGATCTTTGTAGTCAGAAAAGGGAAAAAAATGCTTGCGCTTGATAAAACAAAAAAATTCAAACTACAAAGGGGTAAATAGTAAAAAGTCTCTACTCCCAACCCTAAATCCTCCTTTTCCCCCACACAGTCCTGTGTGTATACCAGCATTTATGTATGTATAAATACCCCCCTTTTAGTTTTATAAATGGTAACACACTATTAGTAGCTTTTAATTCTGAGATTATATAACCGCATTCTTTTTTTAGCAGCGTCCTAATGTTTCATTGGATAGATGTACCATAATTTATGGGTGCTCTTTTTTTTTCAATTTTAAATACTCTTTCCCCAGCCTGGGCAACATGGCAAAACCCCATCTCTAAAAAAAATTAGCCAGGTGTGGTGGTGGGCGTCTGTAGTCCCAGATACTTAGGGAGGCTGAGGGAGGAGGATCGCTTGAACCCAGGAGGTCGAGGCTGCAGTGGGCCTTGATTGTGCCACATATCCCAGCCTGGGTGACAAAGTGAGACCCTGTCTCAAATAGAACAACAACAGAAAACCCAAAAAACTGCTGGGCGCAGTGGCTGACGCCTGTAATCCCAACATTTTCAGAGGCTGATGCTGGTGGATTGCTTGAGCTCAGGAGTTCAAGATCAGCCTGGGCAACATGGCAAACTCTCATCCCTACCAAAAATACAAAAATTAACTGGGCATCATGGTGTGCACCTGTGGTTCCAGCTACTCATGAGGCTGAAGTAGGAGGATCTCTGGAGCCTGGGAAGTCAAGGCTGCAGTGATCACGCCACTGCACTCTCCAGCCTGGGAAACAGAGTAAGACCCTGTCTCCAAAAAAAAAAAAAAAAAAAAAGAATAAACGTTGTCAGCACCCCACAAGTTCCCCAAAAGTTCCTTTTCCTGTTCATAAACCTGTATTCTCTACCCAGAGGTAACAACTAGCCTTCTATTGTTTCCTTGCTTTTCTTTATAGTGTACTGTTTTTCTTCCCTGAATGATGTAGTGTAATTTCACCCATTTTTGAGCTTCATGTAAGTGGATGCTTGTCATATATTTTCTGTTATGGCTTGCTTTTTCTTCTCAACATTATGTATTTGTGAAAATTGTCCATGCTGTGCACCAAGCTGTGTGTCTTCATTTTTTTTTTTTTTTTTTTTTTGAGATGGAGTCTGTCACCCAGGCTGGAGTGCAGTGGCGCGATCTCGGCTCACTGCAAGCTCCGCCTCCCGGGTTCCCGCCATTCTCCTCTGGAGTAGCTAGGACTACAGGCACCCGCCACCACGCCCGGCTAATTTTTTGTATTTTTAGTAGAGACAGGGTTTCACCATGTTAGCCAGGATGATCTCGATCTCCTGACCTCGTGATCCGTCCCCCTCGGCCTCCCAAAGTGCTGGGATTACAGGCGTGAGCCACCGCGCCCAGCCTGTGTCTTCATTTTTAACTGCTACTTAGTATTCTATCTTCATGATTATACCACATTGATTTGACTATGCCACTATCATTGGACATCTGGGTGGCTTCCATTGTGCATTTTCTTCACCTGCACAAAAGGCATAAATAAATATTTTCCTCACATGCTTGTTACACCAAGCAAATAAAGTAGTAAACAGAAAAATGCCTGGAAAATACTATGTGGAAAAACACAAATTTGAGTTAGTTATAATGGTTATAGAAATCAAAGAGGCCAGGTGCAGTGGCTCATTCCTGTAGTCCCAGCACTTTGGGAGGCCAAGGCAGGTGGATCACTTGAGGTCAGTTAAAGACCAGCCTGGCCAACCTGACGAAACCCGGTCTCTACTAAAAACAAAAATTAGCCAGGTGTGGTGATGTGTGCCTGTAATCCCAGCTACTTAGGAGGCTGAGGCAGGAGAATCGCTTGAACCTGGGAGGCAGAGGTTGCAGTGTACCGAGATCACGCCATTGCACTCGAGCCTGGGTGACAGAACCAGACTTTGTCTCCAAAAAAAAAAAAGGAATTCAAAGTTAGAGAAAGGAGATGGTGACTTAAGAGTAAAAAAGTGCTAATGTGGTAAAAATCACAAATCATTAGACTTGTCTAGAAGGTTGTTAGCAGTGACTTTTAGCAATGATGGTTATAGAAGCAGAATGTCTCAGAAGGAGGTGATGAATCCTAAGACAGTAAAATTGAAGCTGTAGTGAAGGCTAAATGAGGACTTTGGAATCCAGACTTCCCCCACCACAGGTCTGAGAAGCAGGTTTTTATAAGATGGTGCTTGCTGTATTCCTCACTTCCTTCATAAGAGACACTGATTATGCCTCTGGACCCCTTTCCTCCTCCCTGGGGTCTTGAGATACCCAGAAAAAGAGTGAGTTTATCAGCATATTACTTAAGCTGGGAAATACTGCTGTAGGCTCCTTTGCTGCATCCATTTGGCTGTAACTTTGAACTACAACCCAATCTATCATCAGTGTCAGGAAAATATGGGGATGATGCATTACAGCATGTGACCCCTGGAGGGCACTGAGAGCCTATACTGTGGAAAACTTTTTGCACAACCTCTTTAGGTTATGGTTTAGGAACCTCACATCCTGTACAGCCAGAGGTAAGTGGCATTCTCAGTGGGAGAATGATATAGATTTCTCTTCTGTTCATTGGTTGAGAACTGTAGTGACAAAGCTCTTTTGGATTCCTCTAGGATCTGAGTGTGGCTCTGTACAAACACTTCCTCTCCCTACCTGACGGGGAGACCTGCTCAGATGCCTCAAGAGAACTCCGGCTCCTCTGCTGTGACATAGATCCAGTCCTGGTGAAGCGAGCCGAAAAAGAATGTCCTTTTCCTGATGCCTTGACTTTTATTACCCTGGACTTCATGAATCAAAGGAAACGGAAGGTTCTCTTGAGCTCTTTCTTAAGCCAATTTGGACGTTCAGTTTTTGACATTGGCTTCTGTATGTCAATAACCATGTGGATTCATCTGAACCACGGAGACCATGGCCTGTGGGAGTTCCTGGCCCATCTTTCCTCCCTCTGCCACTACCTCCTTGTGGAGCCCCAACCCTGGAAGTGTTACCGGGCAGCTGCAAGGCGTCTCCGAAAGCTGGGACTCCATGATTTTGACCACTTCCACTCCCTTGCCATCCGAGGTGATATGACCAATCAGATTGTGCAGATCTTGACCCAGGATCATGGCATGGAATTAATATGTTGCTTTGGCAACACCAGTTGGGACAGAAGCCTTCTGTTCTTCAGGGCAAAACAAACCATAGAGACTCATCCAATCCCTGAATCACTGATAGAAAGAGGGAAAGAAAAGAACAGATTATGATTCCAGAAGCAGTGAGATGGGAGGGCAAGAAGACTAAGAAAGAGATACTGAAAGAGTTTTATATTGAGAATTATGTTCATTCTCCTTAACTCCTTAACAATCAGGCAGCCTCAAAACCTGGCAGGAGCTTTTGGTAAAATGTCCAAGGCATATAATTCAAAGAATCGGTATCTGTTCCCCATTGTTTGGAACAAATCTTGTGGAGAATGAATCTGTGGAGTGGTGAGCTAGGGTATCTGGATTGGAATGGCCTAGGAAAAGTGGTCCTGGTTATGGAGGGGGCTGCTTTGGGGGATTATTTATAAAGATAAAACTAGGCTAGTCTTAAAATATATCAGTTCCTGGGCTCTCTGAATCTTACCTGGTTTCTTCAGGCTTCCGGACTTGCTAGGCCTGACTTTGGGCAAAACCTTAGTAATTCAGGTTTGGAATGTGGCTTAGGAATCTATTTTCTGTTTTTTGTTTGTGCATTCTTCTATTATAGTAATATATACATAAAATTTACCATTTTAACCGTTTTTAAGTATAGTTTTTCAGAACATGTGGAAATCCCATCAAAAACTGGATTAAAAATTAAAAGATAAATAATTTTTTAAAAAGTATACAATTTTTGTGACATTAAGTACATTAACAATGAGGCATCTGTTTTTAACAGCTCCCCCAGATGATTCTGAGGCAAGCAGAGGTAGACCATACTTTGAGTGCTTACGGTTCCATTCAGCCCTCCTCTATGTATTTTTCCTGGTATGAGTTCTTCCCTGTGACTTTAACAACTACCTGCATGCTTATGGTCCCCAAATATATTGGTAGCCCTACATCCACAGTCCCAGACTAGCATTTTTCCTGTTTTGTCATTATATCCCTTAGTTCTTAGGTACATCAGATTCAACATATCTCAAAAGCAAGCTCATTGCAGTATTCATTGCTTAAGCTAGAAACCTCAGTTGATTTTCTCACTTACATTCCCCACATTTAAATGCTCACAAAGTCCAGCAGCAAATTCTATCAATTACATGTACGTTTCATTCCATCCATGTGTCCAGTGCCTGGTGGGGGGTTCCTATATTAAAGTCATCTACCTTCCAATCCATTCTCTGCCTTACAGCCACAGTTTACCCATCTGTACAACTGAAATAACACCACTTTCCTTTTCCTATGCCCAAATTTCCTAAGGATGTGAAGGTATTTTGCAGAATATAGAGTGATAAAGAAAAATAAGGTGCTATTACACTGTGTGAGCATGCTGCAGACCACAACTGCACTTGTTAGACCAGAGGCTTATGAGAAAAACATCTCACCTTGTAGAAAACATGCATCTTACTATCTCGAATAACTTGTTTTTCAGGATAATGAAGTAATAAGGAGTCCAGCCTCAGTGCTACAGAACATTTTAAAGGAAGCAGTGTTGGCAGGGAGGGATATGGAGCTAATAGAAATGAGGCCAGTTTATGATGGTCTCAGTTATCACAGTAGTTACAGAGCTGAGTTTGCCCACAAGATCTTAATTTAGGAACACTTTGAAACCTTGTAACCCTGCTAGGTGCTCTCTCCTCTCACTCCACCAAGGCAGTGCACAGAAACATACGTGGCGCTATGGTAGGATGAATAATGGTCCTGCACGATGTCCACCTAATCCCTGAAACCAGTGAATGTTACCTTAGATAGCAAAAGGGGCTTTGCAAATGAGATTGAGGATCTTGAGATCGGTAGATTAACCTGGATGATCAGAATAGACCCTAAGTGCAATCATCAGTGTTCTTATAATAGGGAGGCAGAGGGAGAGCTGACCACAGTAGGAGATGTAATGACAAAAGCAAGAGGTTGGAGTGATGTGAAGAAGGGCCACAAGTCAAGGAATGCAGGTGGCTTCTAGAAGTTAGCAAAAGCAAGGAAATGTATTCTCCCCTGAAGCCTCCAGAAGGAACAGCCCTGCCAACACCTTGATTTTAGATTTCTGATCTCCAGAGCTGTAAGAGAATAAATCAGTATTTTAAACCACTAAGTTTTTTGGTGATTTCTTAGAGCAACACTACAAAACTAATACATGGGCTCTGACTACAGTGAGACTGGCTTACAAAGCCAAGTGGCACCTTTCCCAGATAACTCCTTGATAACAGAAAATAACCTCAGTGACCAGAAGGATACACAGGAGCTTTGTCCAACATGGCTAATTAAGAAATACCCAGGTGCAGTGGCTCACGCCTGTAATCCCAACACTGGGAGGCTGAGGCAGGTGGATCACTTGAGCTCAGCAGTTTGAGACCAGCCTGGGCAACATGGCAAAACCCCGAATCTGCAAAACACACACACACACACACACACACACACACACACACAAATTAGCTGGGAGTGGTGGCACGCACCTGTAGTCTGGTAACTTGGGAGGCTGAGGTGCAGGATCACTTGAGCTCAGCAGGCTGAGGTTGCAGTGAGCCAAGATCATGCCACTGCACTCCAGCCTGGATAATAGAGTGATACTGTCTTAAAAAAAGAAATCCTCAATAACTAAAAGCTTTGGGAGATGCTTCAGCATCCGAACCTGACCTGTTCCCTAGTAAGAGATTGGCTGAGCAGTTACCTGACCTGTTGGGAGGAACCACTGTATTTCACATCTGTGGCAGTTGGTTTCAAAAAGGATGTGTAATTAGTGCCCATAAAAATGAGCTCCTCAGGTCAGGTGCGGTGGCTCACATCTGTAATCCCAACACTTTGGGAGGCCAAGGCGGGAGAATCACTTGAGCCCAGGAGTTAAAGACCAGCCTGGGTAATACAATAAGACTTCATCTCTACAAAAAAAATTTAAAATTTAAAAATTAGCTGAACATGGTGGCATGCGCCTATAGTCCTAGCTACTCGGGAGGCCGAGGTGGGAGGATTGCTTGAGCCTGAAAAGCAAGGTTGCAGTGAGCCGAGATCATGCCACTGCACTCCAGCCTGAACAGCAGAGTGAGACTCTATCTAAAAAAAAAAAAAAAAAAAAAAAAGGAATGGCAGTATAAGCATATTTAGTCATATAGAAGAATCAGCCAAAAAGTTAAAATGGCTCATTGCTGGGGGTAAGAAATGCAGCAAATAATTGCTTCTGTATTATTTGATTATTAAAACATATGGACATACTACTTTTTATACAAACTAATCTTAAATGAATAATTTTTTAAAGTAGCGAGTGTTTTCTAAAATAACTCTCACTGTACCACCCATCTATCTGCCTAATTTTTCCTTCACAGCATAGCCAAAATCTTAGAAAAGTTTTTTGTTGTTGTTGTTTGTGTTTTTGTTTTGTTTTTGAGACAGTCTCACTCTATTGCACAGGCTGGAGTGCAATGCCACAATTGGCTCACTGCAACCTCCGCCTCCCAGGCTCAAGTGATTCTTCTGCCTCAGCCTCCTGAGTAGCTGGAATTACAGGCACGTGCCACTGCGCACAGCTCGTTTTTGTATTTTTAGTAGAGACCGGGTTTCACCATGTTGGCCAGGCTGGTCTTGAATTCCTGACCTCAGGTGATCCACCCACCTCGTCCTCCCCAAAGTGCTGGAATTACAGGTGTGAGCCACTGCACCCAGCCAAAAAGTTTTAAACACCTCCTGTCTCCATTCCTTCCTTTGTACATTTTTCTCAATCCTTCAGAATCTGGTTTTGCCAGGTTGGGCGGGGTGGCTCACGCCTGTAATCCCAGCATTTTGGAAGGCCAAGATGGGAGGACTGCTTGAGCCCAGGAGTTTGAGAACAGCCTGGGCAATGGAGTGAGTCCCCATCTTTGTTTTAAATAAACAAGTAAAATCTGGTTTTATCAAAGTCTCCAATGACAAGTGGCCAGAGTCAGTAGGGATGTCTCTGTCCTGATCCAACTTGACTCAGCAACATCGGGGCCAAAAAAATCATCTCTTCCTATTCATGGGGAATTGGTTCCAGGACCCACAAGGATACAAAAATCAAAGGATGCTTAAGTCCCTTACATAAAATGGTGTAGTATTTGCAAATGACCTAGGGGTATTCTCCTATATACTTTAAATCATCTCTAGATTACTTGTAATATGTAATATTATATAAATACTATGCAAATAGTTAACACTAATTTTTTTTTTTAAGACGGAGTCTCGCTCTGTCGCCCAGGCTGGAGTGCAGTGGCGCGACCTCGGCTCACTGCAAGCTCCACCTCCCGGGTGCATGCCATTCTCCTGCCTCAGCCTCCCGAGTAGTGGGACTACAGGCGCCCACCACCTCGCCCCGCTAATTTTTTATATTTTTAGTAGAGGCGGTGTTTTACCGTATTAGCCAGGATGGTCTCGATCTCCTGACCTCGTGATCCACCCGCCTTGGCCTCCTAAAGAGCTGGGATTACAGGTGTGAGCCACTGCGCCCAGCCTAAATTTTTAAAATTTTGCATTTTTATTGCTGCATTTTTTTTTTTTTCTGATCTAGTCTTCAGAGAGATGTAGTTTTTTTGTTTGTTTATTTTTCTGATCTGAGGTTGATTGAGTGCATGGATGTGGAAGTCACCAATAAGAAGGACTGACTATATTTGGTCTTTTTTTTTTGGAAATCCCTTTCTTGGGTTCTGGTGACAATGTTCATTCAGTTTTCTTTCTCCTTCTCCGGAGACCCCCCTCTAATGTTGATGTTCCTTGGGGTTCTGCTCCAGCCTTTTTTTTCTCTACTTGCATGATCTCCTCAACTCCATGACTTCAGTAACCACCAGTGTTCTGAGGACTCACAAATCTCTTATCTATCATCCCAATTCCTCTCCTGAGCTTCAGAATTATTTATCCCACAGCCTACATCAGTGCTTCCCAACCTTTTCCGTGTCAGTACACACATAGAAAACGATGGTGTTTTATATGCTGGATGATGCAATCTGGCATAACCAAGATTGCTCTCTGACTCAGGAAGCTTGTGCTGCCCTGAGAATTGTGAAGCCCAATATGCAGCACCACCTTAACCTCTTCCTGAGGCACACAGTTGGGAAGTTCTGACGAGTTGGAGAGATGTTTCTACTTGGATGCCCCCTGGGGATTTCAACATCCTCCCCATCACCACTATCACTTTCCTAGTCCAGACCACATCATTTCTCATTTTTCTCCTCAGGTACTACAAAAACCTTGCCTGGCCCCCCTGACTTCAGTCTTGCTCTCTCTATCCTCCACACTGCAACCACACTGATCTAAAATGCAAATCTGACTATGCTACCCTCCTGCTTAAAACCATTCAAAGTCTACACTGCTCTTAGGATAAAGGATGGCCTACCCACTGCTTACCTTTCCAGTCTCATTGTTTATCATACCCTACATGAACTCTGTACAAGTTATCTAATACTTTATGTACAGTGCTTACCATATAGATTCAATAAAAATGTTCGAATGATGAAAAGTGATGAAAAAGAGGTTCAAGGATATGAGCAGATTCATCATATCTGTGCCAGGTAGGAGGTTTCAAAGCACATACTGGCAATGCTGTCAGAATCCAAGGAACATGACTGTCCCATAGAGAATTATGTACATGTAGCAGTAAAGATCTATTCCTATACAGCAAGTGGACCGAACATTATACAACAGCTTCTTTCTTCCTATTACTGATCAGGAAAGACATTGAGATTGCACTCAGAGTTCATCTGTCTGGAAAGCAGCCATATTACAAAAATGTTTTGAGGTCAGGCATGGTAGCTCACATCTATAATCCCAGCACTTTGGGAGGCCACAGTGGGAGGATCGCTTGATCTCAGGAGTTCAAGACCAGCCTGAGCATACAGTGAGACCCTGTCTCTACAAAAAATGAAAAAATTAGCTGGGTATGGTGGAGTGCACTTGTAGTCCCAGCTAGTTGGTGGGGGCTCACTTGAGCCTAGAAGTCAAGGCTGCAGTGAGCTGTGATCACACCACTGCACTCCAATCTGGGTGACACAGCAAGACCCAATCTAGAGAAAAAAAAAAAAAAGAAAAAATGTTTTGAGAGGCTAGATACCAACCTGACTATCTCCTGTTGCCAGGAGTTCTAAACTAGAGTCAGTTTGTCAGCCAATGGCTAAATGGCTACAGTTTCAACCTCTGAGAATTGAAGATGCTCCAACATTAAATGAATGACCACATAGTATTAAAGCAGGGAACCCCATTCAAAGTACTGATGTTAGCAGTGACAGGGTGGTTCTCTCTGACAATCCATCTATCAGGCATCAGCACTACATGCATAGTTAGACAATACCACCAAACTGGTTTGTTACTAAACCAGTAGTAACAGCTTGCAGCTACCAGAGACCTAAGAGGCCTAGCCTGTTTTGTTACACAGACAACTCAAGTAAATAACAATATATGATTAGTGATATAAGAGTGAAGAACAAACTTTGGGACTTCTGTGTAATTTTTAATTTATGCAAATAATAGCACTAAGGAATGAAAGAGTCTTAAGTCTCATCAAAAGACAGAAAGGGATCTTGGAGCAATAGTAGTTACACTTCTTTCAACCCCTGTCAGTGAGGATGAAGGTTTGTGAAGCATAGAGAATCTGCCAAAATCTGAATGCCAAAATTATCAAATGCACAATAGCCTTTAAGGAAGGAGCACAGGTGCTTGCTCTGACAAATACAGATGTTCTGGCTGTATTTACTAAACAAGGGTAAACATCTAAATGAAAAGTAAAATATTGGCTGGGCGCGGAGGCTCACGCTTGTAATCCCAGCACTTTGGGAGGCTGACGGGGGCAGATCACTTGAGGTCAGTAGTTCAAAACCAGCCTGGACAACTTGGTGAAACCTCATTTCTACTAAAAATACAAAAATTAGCTGGATGTGGTGGCACCCACCTGTAATCTCTGCTACTTGGGAGGCTGAGGCAGAAGAATTGCTTGAGAATTGCAAGAGGCAAGAGAATTGCCTCTTGGGAGGCAGAACTTCAGTGAGCCGAGATTGTACCACTGCATTCCAGCCTGGGTGACAGAGTGAGACTCTGTCTCAAAAAAGAAAAAAAAAAAAAGTAAATTATCATCTTGACGTTCTGTTTACTTCCAATAATTCAGTTATTTGGAAACATCCAAAAGTAGTTAGAAATGCCTGGCAGACTTTTAAGGTTTTCTACCTCAAGGCAGAATTAGGAATACAAGGCAATATTAGGAATACAACAGGTACATGGAGTTTTATTGGACTTTCAAGCCCTTTGAGGAAAGGACCATGTCTACTTTGTGTTGTAATCCCAGAACTAGCCCACTGATCCCTATTCAATAAATGTTAGATAATTGAATAAGAATTCACAATGCTGTAGGCTTCTGAAGATGCCATTATCATCAAGAAATAAGGTGAAAAGGAGAAATGAAAACATGTCTATGAAAATATTTGCACCAGAATGTTAATAGCAGCCATATTCATCATAACCCCAACTGGAAATACCAAATATCCATCAATTGAAGAATGGATAAACACATTGTGATATATTCATGTGATGGAATATTACTCAGCAATAAAAAAGAACAGATTACTGATACACATGGATGGATCTCAAAAACATTACTAAGCTAAAGCATACAGACACAAGTACATACTGTAAAGTTCCATATATGTGAAATACAAATGCAGACAAATCTATGGTGCTATAATTCAGGAAGTTGCCAGGGGAGGGTGGTGGTGGGTGTGGGGTGATCAACTATAAAGGGGCATGAGGGAACTTTCTAGGGTGGTGGTTCAGTATCTTGTTTTGGGTGTTAATTACATAGGTGTATATTTTGAAATTCACCAAACAAAGCACCTAAGATGTGTGCATTTTATTGCATGTTAAGAATAGTTTAAGGGCTGGGCACGGTGGCTCATATCTGTAATCCTAGCGCTTTGGGAGGCCGAGGTGGGCAAATCACCTGAGGTTAGGAGTCCGAGACCAGCCTGGCCAACATGGTGAAACCCCCGTCTCTACTAAAAATACAAAAATTAGCCAGGTGTGGTGGCGCACACTTGTAATACCAGATACTTGGGAGGCTGAGGCAGGAGAATCACCTGAAATCAGAAGGCAGAGGTTGCAGTGAGCAGAGATTGTGCCACTGCACTCCATCCAACCTGGGACAGAGTGAGACTCCATCTCAGAGAAAAGAAAAAAAGTCTCACTCTGTCGCCCAGGCTGGAGTGCAGTGGCACAATCTTGGCTCACTGCAAGCTCCGCCTACTGGGTTCACACCATTCTCCTGCCTCAGCCTCCCAATTAGCTGGGACTACAGGTGCCCACCACCATGCCCGGCTAATTTTTTGTATTTTTAGTAGAGACGGGGTTTCACCGTGTTAGCCAGGATGGTTTCTATCTCCTGACCTTGTGATCCGCCTGCCTTGGCCTCCCAAAGTGCTGGGATTACAGGCGTGAGCCACCATGCCCAACCAGAATAAAATATTTTTTAAGCAAAAAAAATGAAAAAGTTGGTGGGAGTAACCATCAAGACATCCTTTAGGTTCCAGTAATAGCTGTCCTTGGGCACTCTTTTCATCAAGCTACCTCTATGCTCAAGAACCCAAAATGACTTATCTTGTCATTTTGTCACATCCGTATCCTTATTCTGCTCTCCTCCGTAGGAAACCTCTTCCATTAACTTCTCCCACTTTCCAGCGTACCACAGTGATCTGCTCACGGTCCTATGCAGATAATTTGTTCTTTCCTATCTGAGTCTCCTTGTGGCCTTTACCCTGCCTGGACCCTACTCAAGTTCTCTCTGCCCTTCAAATCCCGTGTTTAAATAAGCCTCCTTCAGAAAAGAACTCCTAATCCTAGCCAATCTGAGCACTCTGAATTCCCTTTTTATGTTCCTTTATTGGACTAATATGATACTCTAAGCTGCCTCCTTTGTATACTCACAACAAAAGAAATTTTAATGAAGCAGGCAGAGGCCGGTGCCTAGGGATTCCTTCGTATTTCCCTGCAGAACCCAGTTGAGAACCTACATTTCTAGGGCAGTCACTACAATGCAGGTTGTGAGGTTTATACGGTATTTAGGCAAGGGCAAGTAAGTGTTTAATTAAGGACTAATGGGAATGATATTGAAAGCTCTGAGGCTCTGCAGGGGCCTGGATGGGCTGTTTGCTTTTCCTTATCCCCACCGAGATAGCAAGTGGTTGAGAACAAGGTTGTATCCTTTTTCTGCTCAGCCTTCCCTCCCAAACCAGTGAGGAAACGGCCAGCACTGCTTGTCGATGAGCGGAGCCTGTTCCTATCACTGTTTTCCAGATTACTGGGGGGACGACCCTATCCTGGATAAGGAAGAGAGAGGCGGTAGCATTTAAGGCCAAAGAGGCACTCAAGACTTTCCCTATGGATTTACACCCAACACGTATGCAGGAAGGCAAATGACAAACACCGACGCTGACAACCACACATACACGTGCACGCCCAGCCCCACAGAAGCAAACGCGCATGCCTGTGGGTCCGCGCGCAGCTACTTAGTTTTCTCTGTTCTAGACGCCCTCATTCCACCCCCGCTCGGCCCAGCCCGGCGTCCTCTACCCAGGCACGGCTGAGGTTTACCAAGCCCGGCCGGGCCTGGAGAAAGTGTTTCTACAGAGGGGGAAGGGAGGTCCTTCCCACCAGAGCGGAAGCGGCGCGCGCCGGCCGGGCAGACTTAGCTGGCGTCCTGGGAACATCTGGAGGGGGCTGGGAGGGGCGCGCATCCAGGGTGAATGTGGATTGGCTACTAGGGAGGAGGGAGGCGGGGTCAGAGCCAGGGGCGGGGCTCTCCGGCCCCTTTAAAGCCTTGACATCAGGAGGCGGCTCCGGCACCCCCCTTTCTCTGCCCCCCGCCCCCAACCGCGGCCATGGACCTGGCGGATCCGGCCTGCCCTGGCCCAGCTCAACACCTGATTTCGGTGAGTTCTGGGTCTACTTGGGATTGAAAGAGCGGCGAGTGCGGGGGGGATCTGTAGCTCCGTGCCGGGGGAAGTGGGGTGTAGAGGGTAAGGCTCTCGTGGCAGTACAGGGTCGGAGAGGGCGTCGCGGCTTCCTGCCCAAACCATACTGCCCGCCCCTCCGTCCCTCCCTCCAGCTGCACCCTCCTCGGGGGTCCGGCTGAGA